ATATTGGATCCGCAATTAAAATATCTTGGTATATCACGGCACACGTAGCATAAATATACCAGAACATCGTTTTGCCCCCTTGTCATTCGCAGGTCGCTGACTCATTTCTCGGCTAGTTGCACCGAAGCATATTGAAGTGTTTAGTAGTTAATAACAACAATTTTTTGTCACGCTGAGATTTGAGCTCGATACCTCAAAATTGTAAACCTTGAATAACTCATCCAGTAACCGTCGGGGGGGGGAGACGACGCGGTGGAGTGGTAGAGTGACTCCACGTTACGGTGTGGTTCCAAACCAAAGCTGGACACAGATTTCTCTTATTAATTGCTGATTTTCTTGAGCAAGGAATTCAATAATTGTTGTGTTTTGGTGCAACGATCCGAAATACGGGTAGCAGGTAGTTAACCTGCGAACAATAGGGGCAGCAGGTTGCTTCGCTGAAATCCTGACAAAGCGTGTGAAACACGCCTTCCAATGTACACGCTTTACGACAGTATTTGCTTTGATCTACCTGATAGATAATTAACAACTGGCACAATGTGTAAACGCAAACCTAAAAAATTAATCCACTACTGAGCATTTTATGTATTTATCAGTTTTATCAAAAAATGACAATAAAACAAACGTGGCATAAGGCACAAAAACGTAGATTAGCTGCGCATTGTTAGATTAATCAAAAGAATTGGCCAACAAATAATGCACAAATCATGAATCTGCAATAGAACCCAACATACCGTCGGAAGCAAGCTTTCTCTGTTGTTGATTTCTTTCAGAGTTAGATCTTCAGTTCCACGTGCTAATTAGTCGGTTTCCCTGTTTCAATAATATCAGAATACGTTGGCTTTATCGAAAAATTTACAAGTAGCAAGAAGCGATTATATAAATATTACTGCTAGAGGCAAGATGGAGGGAGTAACTCGTGAAATCCATGTGATGCAACATTCGAAACCTCAAAATGATCATGATTAGAAATTGTTAAAATGAATGAGATATGAACTGAATTAAAAGAAATTGAGACAAGACAGCTGAACATTGTACGCAGCAGTTAAAGAAGTTACCTCCGCATTTCTTAGTTTCTGAGAATCCTGATTAATGGTAGGAATAATATTCTGCAGCGAAGCCATGTGACTGACAATAACTCCATGTATTGCACTGTCGTTGAAAGGACACGCTACAAACATTGAAGATCTCAAAATTAGACGAGTATGCACTGTACGCGAAAACATTATTGCCTATTCATGACCATTACATATCGGGTGATTAACGACGCGCATGTTCAACCGTGATGTAAGTAAATCAGTAAATGAAACTAAACTCTGATCTATTATGAGTTAGGAATCTATATTTTCTTGAGAATTGGTGGAGGGGTCTTAATATTGAATCAGATAGATTTTAATATTGAATGCAAAATATCGAGTTGAACTGAAATGATGAAACTAGAAATCATGAACGACAAAAATTGGCGCGAAAAGTTTTCAAAAGATAGATTGCTCTTGATTATACGCAAAACAGTACCATAAATGGCATGAAAAATTATATCCGCAAATGTTGGCAGCATAGAAATAAATTACAACATTACATGGTAGTATGCAGCATGATCATGCTGTTTTTTATTCGCAGCGAAATCTTTGAGCATGAGATTCATCTTCGTTTTCATCTTCATCTTCCATCGCCGCTTCTCCTTTCGGGTCGCGGAGGCAGACGCGTCAGACAGTGCTT